TGTCCCGCGGCTTCGATGGTCAGTGGTGGAGGCGGGGCGGGCTGTGATGTTGTAGTCGGCTTGTCCTTTGCGCGCATCAGGAGCGTCTCCGTCTTCTTCTCCGACACCGTTAGCCCGAACTCCCCGAACAGCTCAACGATGATGGTCATCATTCTCATGCAGAACATGAGTACCCCCCTCCCCTCCTCGGTGTTTGCCATCGGGATTGGGTTTTCGTCGCTTGGCAAAGACGTTGTAAAACAAGCCAATTCACTTCGTGAACTCGGCAACCAGGTTACCTTTTTTTTTTTTACCTCTGTTTTTTTTTGGGGGGGCGGTAACCATATGGTAGTCGAGTAGATCATGTTGTGCGGGGTCGAGAATCCTCACTCCGCGCAAGGGGGATGATCGCACCACGGTGTGTTAAAATGGTCAAGCACCCTCGAGGCAGTCATACAGTGCTTATAACTGTCTCTGGAAGTGAAAGCACCAGAAAATAAATTAATTCATACGCAGCTGTCATCCGTACGCAAGGAAGTAAGCACAAGATGCCGAACACCCTTAGCAGGATGCAGCGCACCCTTCATGCGACTCGCCGAATATCTCACGGCGCTTCGCGCTTGGTGATGTGAGAGCCTGGTCCGGTGAGAACCCGGCGTGCTCCGTCCCGGCTTTGTAGGGATGCGAGGTCAATGGTCTAACGACTACGGCATGCACGACTATGAGTACACCCCCCTCCCTGCCCAAGCCTTGCCCGCGAGGACCCCAAGCGCTTTCCCCCGTCTCTAGGCTGACTCTTACGGCAACCGAAAATTGGCCGACAGATTTTTTTTCGTTTGCTATAAGAGTCAGCCTTAGTGTGGGGTACCAGGGTCTACGCTCTTGCGAGTGTGGCGGTCATGGATGACGGCGGTTACAGCCCCCCCGCTGCCGTGTGTCGTATCCCTCGCAAACCTTGCGGAAACCCTTGCGCAGCAAAAGTTCCACACGGTAGCGGAGGAGGCGTTTTCCCGCAGTGTGGCGGGCGAGGCTCCTAACTCTAGAACCGGTGTTGCCGCTAAGGCTGTTGCTAATGGCTCTGCCGCTGACGGTGTGGCGCGTTGGCAAGGGGGGGGCACACCGGTGGTGCTGGGGGGGGGGTGAAGGAGGCTGCGATGGCGGCGGGGGCATCGACAAATCAAACGGCAGGGGTGCGTGAACGGGAAATGTCAATCTGTGCAACACTGAAACTGAATTTCATTTCTGTCGTTCAAACGAGCTGCATATTGTGATCTTGATTAGCAGACTCGCCCACGTTTTGGCGGCAACTAATGACCAACAGTATGGATTCGATGTTTTTTGCGGAAGGCAGGCTTGCACTAATCGTGCGGTCATTTTCTTTCAGGCAGCAGAATTCGAGCAAGTTCATTGTTGTCTCTGGCGTCTCCGTCTTTTGCGTTTATTGTTTGATTCTTGGCGTGGGAGTGTCCTGCGGACTTGTAGTCGCTCAACTAGCCACGGACCATTTTTACCCCTTCGTACCGAGGCACATTGTTCTTCTTCTTTGCTTCCCCACCGGGCTCCGACCTAAACCCTGAGCATGTCGGGAAGACCTCCCCCACCCCGATCCTGCCCCAAACGTTTCACTCTTGCTTGAGCTGTTTGTTGTTGTGTTCACATTAAAAAACTGTTCCGGTCTCCGGTCATAACCTTCTAATGCACGTACCGGTCCAACTGACGCAGACGCCTTCCGTGGTGACAGACCAGCTACCCAACCAAAGGAGTACATGCAAAATCTAACGAAAAGAAAGACACAGCTTTGAATTTAACAAACAACAAAAAATTGGGATCGCCTTTCCGTCGCGACTCAGGGCAACAGCGACGGTGCGGCGGCGGCGGCGGCAGCCACAACGGGAGCTCTTTCCGGGCAAAGAATGTTCCAATCATTTTCCGGGCCCAGCCGGGCGGTGGTGACGTTCGCCCTGTACCGGTCCGCTGCGAAGGGGAAGGGTCTGAGGCTGCCGGGACACCTTCCGGAGAAACGGCTCTTCGAGGTTGAAGCCCTCGAGCACAACACGCTGCAGCAGGTCATGGGTGGGTGGATGATCAAGGGGTCGATAAACCTCATGACCAATGAATGGGACGAACGCAAGCACGCACAACGAATCGACCCTTGTTTTGTTTTGCGGTCAACATTGGAAGCGACGAAAAACATCTCGATTCCGCGCGGGAAGCACCTTTGCAGGCACGAGTCGAAACAACACACGCTCGTTTCGTAGTAGGCATCCGTCGGCGGAGGAGCGAAGATGCGTAGGTAGTGATAGTTTGTTGTTCCTGCCGCGCCTGGTGCTGTGGGCCTTTCATTGGCGGTATTTGATATGAGCTTCGTCCGAGAGACAATACCGTTGCCATCGCGAATAACAGTTTGCCGTGCGCCACGTTTACAAGGCAAGGGTGTTAGTGACTAGGGTTGGATTCATAGCCCAGAGAGACTTGGTTGTCCTTCTTCGCCATTCGCGGTAGTGAAAAGTGTTGGATCTACTGCCCGGAAAGACTCGCGTGACATTCTTCGCTTTCCCCCCTTGTCCAGGCAATACAGCAGCAGTTAGTGGCTCCATCCGAGAGCTCCACACACCGCATGAACATAGCGCGGAGTTACCAACTACCTCCCATTTACACGGTGGAAACCAAACGGCGCACGGACGACGTTCCCCTTTTTTCTGTGGAGAGCCGCTCCTTTTATGTACTCCCGTGTGGGATGTGGGCGATACGACAATGCGGCGCTTTTATTCCGACCAAGTATCGCAATTTTTGTGCCAGGAGGCAACTTGGTGCTTTCCGCGGTGTGATTGTCTCGTGTATAGCACGGGATCAAACGGAAGATAGACAGTTTAGGGCTTGCATTGACTTTGGTTGGACGTTCTTGCATTGTTTGTCGTCTGTGTCGCCCCCCCGACATATTTTTTCTCGAACTCTGTTGCGCTGTTTGTCGTCTGTTGTCACCCTCTGCCCACTTTAGTTTTTCTCAAACCCTCTTGCATGGGTTGTCGTCTATGTCACCCCCCCCCCCCCCCCCCCCCC